ACTACACTCTCTGTACCCTCTTTTGGTTTGTAGTTGTGTTCATTTACCAATTGATGTCTCTGGTTTCTTGTTTACAATCTTGTAAGCTTATTTCACTTTGAATACTATAACTGGATTATAACTAGATTGATTTCTGGGTTATGTCATCATGTGTGTTAATCATCAGTGGTTGTTTGTTGGTATTGGTTCTCTATTGAAAGGACTCCTTTTAACATCTCTTGTAAGGTTGGTCTGGTTTTAACAAATTCTCTTAATTGCTGCTTATCTGGAAATCTCCTAATTTCACCCTCATATTTGAGGGACAGTTTTTCCGGGTATATAATTCTTGCTTGTAGATTTTTTTCTTTCAGGGTTTTACATATACCATCCCATTGCCTTCTCACCTGCATGGTTTCTGCCAGAGTATCAGAGCTTAGTCTTATTGGTTTCTCTTTGTAGGCAACTTTTCTTGTTTCCTGTGTTGCTTTCAGGATTCTTTCTATGTTTTTTATTTTGGTGAGCTTGATTATGATATGTCTTAGAGATTTATTTTTGGTGTCTATTTTCCGTGGGGTTTGTTAAACTTCTTGAATGGATATACTCTCATCTCTTATCATATAGGGACTTTCTCTTCCAACAAATCTTCAGCAATTTTCTCTGTGGTTTTCTCTGTGTCTTCCTGTTCTGAAATTCTGATTACACATAGGTTATTCCTCCTGATAGTATCCCACTTGAATCTGAGTCTTCTATGTTTTTTTTGATCTTTTGTCTGATTGATCCCTTAACAAAGTAGTATTGAGGTATTTGTCTTCAATCTCACTAATTCTATCTTCCATTGATTCCATTCTACTTCTTTGCCCCTTCAATGTGTTATCTATTTCTGAAATCTTAGTATTAATCTTCTGGGTACCTATTTGTTATTTTTGTATTATTTCTAATTTTTTGTTTATTTTGTCAATCTGTTCTTGTGTTGTTTTCCTAAATTGTTCTAGAGTTTTGTCTGTGTTTTCATTAATTGTGTCAATGTTTTCCTTGATCTTGTCAATATTTTCTTTGAGCTGTCTCTCAGCCCATTGAAAGTACCCTAGTATAATTCTTTTAAATTACTTCTCAGGGATTTCCAATGCTACTTCTTCATCAGGGATGTTTTCTGGGTTTGAATCATGATTCCCTTGTTTCTACTACTTTATCTTGCTTCTTTGTGTGGACTATAGTGATCTATTGTCACAGATACATTATGGTGGTGTTTTATTTATGTTTAACATGTGAAAGAGAATGAAAGTGTTCATAAATCTTTTTTAGCTGTTCACAAGAAGCAGTTGAGGGTAAGTTGAGCTGTACTGGCTGCCATCTGTCATTAGTCACTTGGTGCAAAAGCAAGTAGTGGCCCTCACTCAGTGGGTGGGGCTTCAGGAGATGCAGGTATGGTTAGATTGTGTTGAAACAGTTGCTGTCATCCACTCAGTTAGACAAAAGAAATAAAAATAAAACACAAAAAAAATAAAAGCAAGAGAACAAAAACTCAAACCACATAAACAAACAGGAACAACTACAGAAAAAGAAAAAGAAAATGCAATAAGTGAGAAGAAAAAATTTTGAAATATATTAAATGAGGATTAAAAAAAAAAAGATAATGAAAAAAAAAATTCCACAATATCTAGGGAAGGAGGAATGAGAGAAAAGAACAAGAGTAAAACAATGGGAAAACTGCATAAGGGAAAACTAGGGATGGAAAGTACCAAATGAAAGAAAAAATAAGTGGGGGAACCAGGAACAGAGAGAGAAAAAGAACCAAAAAAAAAAAAAAAACCCAAGAACCAGGGATAGGAGAGAGAAAAAAAAGGAGGGGGGAGAAGGAAGATAAACAGAATAATATAAAAATAAAAACAAACAATCAAAAACAAAACTGTGAGGAGAGGGGCATAGCACCCAAGCTCTGTCACAGCACAGACCAGGATGGAAATCCTGCTGTTCAAGAAGGTGGGTGGAGGCAGAGATGGCTACACCTTTGTTCACCAAGAGTGTGTGGGGTATAAGAGTAACAAGGGGAATATCGCACCTTTCTAGTCATCACCTTCCAGTCAGCCTCCAGTATGGCTGCTCTTGCTACCCTCAGATCAGAGCCCACTGCTGTGTTGCTGTCCAGGTAAGAAAGCCACTTGCATATACTCAAAATGGTTGCACCCACCACTTGCAAATATTCAAGATTACTGCACCCCCAAGACAGCTGCTGGCAGTCCACAGGTCTGTTTGTCTCCTTCTTTGCTGTTTTCCTTTCTTGTTGTCAGGAACCAATGCAGTCCTTGCTTATGCAGTCTTTAGTGAGCAGAGCCAATTCTTAGGCTGCTGCCGGGGATATATTCAAAATGGCAGTGCCTTCATGACTGCCAGCAGTCTGCAGCTCCATTTGTCTCTTTACTCACTGTTTCCATTCGGGTTCTTCTACTAAAACCACCAAATTCACTGCCATCAAGTCAATTCTGATTCATAGTGACCGCTCCTTGGGTTTTTCTGAGGCAGTATCCCTACAGAAGTAGATTGCCCAGTCTTCCTTCTGAGGAGTGGCCGGTGGGTTTGAACCACCAGCTTTCTGGTTAGCAGTCAGATGCCTTAGGCACTTCACCACCAAAGCTCCCAAAACCAAACTCAATGCCATGGAGTCAATTCTGACTTATAGTGATCCCTCCTTGGGTTTCTGAGGAAGTATCTCTATGGAAGTAGATTGCCCAGTTTTCCTTCCGAGTAGTGGCTGGTGGGTTTGAACTGCCAAGCCTTCTGGATAGCAGTCAAATGCCTTAGGCATTATGCCACCAGGTTCTTCTGCTAGTTGGTGTTTAATCTACTTTATCCTTGCTTTCTACGCTCAGGGTTCCAGGATCATCTTCTGTATAGGTTTCAGTTGGTTTCTTATTGCTTCGTTGCAAGGGTCTGTGTAGTTTGTCTGCCTATTCTGCCATCTTGCCAGAACTCCTCTATTCACTTCTTTTTCCTTTTATCTCTTGTAAGATAAAAGATGATGCAAGCCATACCCCCAGGGAAATTCCCCTTACATTGGATCAGGGCTGGGACCTAATTAAGGATGTTGCATCCCACCCAAATCCCCTTCCAACTGATTGGCTGATCACATCAGATCACATCATGAGTGATCATTACATAATTGCCAAACCACTGAGAATCATGGCCCAGCCAAGTTGACACATATTTTGGGGGAACACAATTCAATCCATGACAGCCATCTTCACTTGAAGTTCTCTCATCTTGACCCTCCAAAACTTCCACATAACCATTTCCAAGTAAACTTTCTAAAACTTCAACTCAGATCCAGCCATTCCTTTGCTTTAAGATCCTCAGTGGTTCCTCATTACCTTTCAAGTGGATCTAATCATAGTAAGAAATTAAACCAATAATCAGATCCCTTTTTGAATTATTAAATTAATAGAAAAGTCATGGAAAATGACCAGTTTTACAGTTTCATATTGTTCAGAATATGCTGCTACAGTCTCTTCGTGTGGGGGTTTTTCACACTTGCCTGGAGCTTTCACTTTTGCCAGAGCAAATCAGCAAATCCATGTTACACTAAAGAACCCTCCAATGATGAGATACTGTCTCACTGCTACCCAGATGGGGACTGAGGACAAATGTCTTGATGATTGAGCAGAAGGGAGGCTGTGAGACCAGTTCATGATTATAATGCCCAATCTACATCTAAAATATCAGTTATGCTCCCTTTTAATGGTACCTGTGAAGCACATAGTGAAGTAATTAATACAACTTACTGTTCTTTCATTTGTCCCATCTCTGACTCTAATCCATGGAGCACACAGAATATTCCTGTTCACATAGGATTTATTTCCATTTGATAAAGAGACTCATTCTGGGGATAAGCAGTGAAGTCAAACATGAGTCATGCTTTCTTTGTTTACTGAAAGGTTTCATTTGTACAAATAAATAGTCCAAATTATATGACATTTTTTATCAATTGGATGTTAGAAATCCAGAGGTCAGGCTTCAGCCAGTGGTTTCATTTGTACAAAACAAGAGCCTCATATGGATAAAGTGGAGCTTCAGTGAATAGCTGGTCTAGAAGTTCATAATCTCTCCATGCAGGGGGCTCAGTGTGGACTGAGGAGGCGTGTTGGTAGCCTCACTGTTGTAGAGGTAATTGTTTAGGGGAAAGAATTCACATCCAAATAACACTGTGGCTAACACAGAGGAGGGTACGGCATATTGTGCTGTTATGCTCTCTCTCATACGGAAGATTAGTTTTATACCTTTTGGAGGTTTATTAATGAAGCTCACAACTGATTGGGGAAGAATGAGGTAACAAATATAATACAGGGACAAACTGAATGGTTAATGATGGTGTTAAACTTATTCCAAAAGGGGTGTATTAAATTAACACTGTTGTTGTTGTTGTTGTTTGCCGTCGAGTCGGCCCCGACTCATAGCGACCCCTCCTTGGGTTTCCGAGGCAGTATCACTACGGAAATAGGATTGCCCAACCTTCCTTCCGAGGAGTGGCTGGTGGGTTTGAACCGCCAGCCTTCTGGTAAACAGTCAAGTGCCTTAGGCACTATGCTACCAGAGCTCCTAAATTAACACTAAACATCCTTAAAACTACAAAAAGTAGTCAAAAAAAATAAAATAAAATAAAAAGGAGGGCACAAAAGACATTGATTCATTCATAATTATTGACTTTAGTAAAAAGAGGTACAAAATCTTTGAAATCCCTGAAAGTTGTTCAATCTCTTTTTCTGACAAATAAAATCTGCATTTCTAAATTCTTGCTTCTGAGCACATCACAGTTTTATTCAAAAGAAAAAAAATATTACCCTTTCAAAACAGATCTAGAGAGGCTTTGTAAATTACTGCTGCTCTAACCTGGCTCATTGACAACCTATGCTACTGTTCTTGATACCTTAGTTCAATCCTGCAGGAAGAAGGCTGAGCCTTCCTGAGGGATGGAAGTAAAGCCACATGTGTCCAAGCAATTAGGAGCTGATTGTTTATCTTCTTTACAGGTGGGAAGGAAAGAATGAAAATGAAGTGGGCAGATGTAAAGAGACCGGCAAGATCCACGTGACTGTAGATCTCAAATACTACAGACCCACCGAAGTGGTAAGCAGCCTCTCCCATGTCACCAATCACAGGCCAGGGCCTGCTGCATCAGCTGGCTGGCTGTGAGCTGGGTGTTGAATGCCTGCTGCTGGCCTCCAGAGCTCCCATTTGGCTGACTAGCATCCTTCAGTAGGAGTTTCCCAAATCAGAACACAGTGAATTGAACTGGGGATATTATTCTCACCACAAAAGCCATTGCTCTATAAAAGAAAACAAGAGTAAAATATACCCAAGAGAATAACTGATTTCAGGACTGGAGGTGCATGTCAAAGGCAGATCTCATCATGCTGGTCTCCTGTTTTGATGTGTGTCTTATAAGGTACTCCATAGCTGCAGGGTCTCTATGACCTGATGGTCTTGTCCACCTCTCTAGCTGCAAACACATATGCACGTTCACACCTAAGCTATAGCAGACTCCCAAATACATCAGGATGTTTCTTGTTCGTGCCATAACCTCTGCATGCAATGCCCTTCTACCCTACACTTCCTGCATCCATGCGTCTGACACCACCTATTCATTTTTTAAGACTCAGCTCAGGTGCCACTCTGCTTCTGAAGTCTTTCCTGGCTAATATACAACTAGCATTGAAAGTTCTACTCCTTCCTTGGTATCTATGTGGTATGTGGTACATAATACCACCACCAGTGCTCCCTTATAAATATATATAATCATTATAAATACATATGTAATTTGTATTATAAATTATATATGTAATCACATTTATATTATTATACCATATTATTTTTGCCAATTGTGAACTCTTTGAGGATAGGGGCTTTTTTTCAATATCATAAGATTATAACAAAGTATGTGCTTAATAAATATCGGATGGATTGATGGGTGGATGGACAGATTGACAGGTGATAGATTGATGGGTGAATGGATAGATGGATGGATAAATTGCTAAATACAGAAATTCCCATATTAAAAATTACATATAGATACTTAGAATATAACGTCCTATAGTGCCTAAGGCATTTGACCTAACCAGCTAACCAGAAGGCTGGCGGTTCAAACCCACCAGTCACTCCTCGGAAGGAAGACTGGGCAATCTACTTCCGTAGTGATACCGCCTCAGAAATCCAAGGAGGGGTCACTATGAGTTGGATCCAACTCGACAGCAGTGAGTCGGTTTTCCTAAATTTATATATTAAAAAAAAAAAATTCTAGCTTGATGATGTACCTTTAATGTGGTCTGCCCTCACTATAGAGAGAAAACTCAGCATAATGAGTGTGCTTGAGGATACTAGAAAGTAACATCCCCAGAGGGAAATGTTCAGATGTGATAGCTAGCTAATAAAATACATGCTCACTGTGAAAACAGGTCTTTCTGAAACTGTTTTACTTGTGTTTTGAACAAGTTTATATCCATAGTACAACCTTTCTGGAATTGGGAAAACTCCAGTGAAGAGAGATGGAAGGTGAATGTTAGTCACTACTAGCCACCCTGGGAGCTCTGGTAGCATAGTGGCTAAGACACTTGCCTGCTCACCAGAAGGCTGGCGGTTCAAACCCACCAGCCACTCCTCGGAAGGAAGGTTGGGCAATCCTACTTCCGTAGTGATACTGCCTCGGAAACCCAAGGAGGGGTCCCTATGAGTCAGGGCTGACTCGACAGCACATAACAACAACAACAACTAGCCACCCTGTAAAATGTCTTTTTTCAAACAAAAGGAAAAAACTTTATTTATGCAGTCTTACAAAGAAGAGGAAGTGAAGAGGAAAGGAAACAAGCAGTGCTTGATAGACAAGGGTAGTGGTGCATTGTCCTGGCAGAGGGAGTGGCCCAGGTCTTTGACAACAGCAAACCATTGTTCCCTGTGCTCCTGGGGAGTGGGTGTGGCAGGGGAGGTTGTGCTCTGCCCCTCAGGAGGAAGATACCAACTCCACTCCTGCTGATGCAGTAAGGGCTGCCTGCTGCACAGCTCTGGCCCACTAGCATTGGTTTCCCTTGTTATAAAGAGGTATCATTTTTCTGAAATATCAGACAGATCACCAGACATGCTACACAATAGGATAGATGCATTTCTGTGCTCACAAATAAAAATGGTCACCTCAAAATGGAAAATTTAGTGAGCCAACAGAAACTCCAGTGCCTGAAACAATTAAAACATGACTGTCTATCTGGCGGTTTTGAAAGCTAGGAAGTCATTAAGAAAGACTTGTCTGTCATTGTTACTTAGACAAGCTAAGAGATTGATAAGGACACAGAACAAAAGGATTTGCTGAACAGGAAAGTACTCTTGGACTGAAAAGACTGTGCTCTTGAAGTCTATAGTGACCCTCTTTCCTGGCGTTGGCACTGCCTCTCTCCCAGTCTTTGGGTTCATTCAAATGTTATCATCATACTTTCAAATCTATTTACACAAATGTTATTTGAATCCAAGTAGTGGCGTCACTAGGACAGTACGAGGGATGGGGAGAGTGCAGACCCCAGTGCGTGACACTGTCAGAGGGGGCAACACCAGAAAGGCTTTCTATAACATTTTTATGCAGTGTTTCAGCAGAAATTTGTTATTTTTTATAAAAATAATTGTACTGTAGTTAGTTATAACAACAAAAACATTTTTCATAAGCCCAGCCTGCATGTATCAGTATACCAGAAGGTATACTGATGATACCTACAAGGGATACAAGTTTTTACTCAATGCTAATTTACTTTTTGAATTTTATAGTGTGCTCTAGTCAGAGCTAGGAGCCCTGATACCATAGGGCCTAAGGCACTTGACTGTTAACCGGAAAGCTGGTGGTTCAAACCCCCCAGCCAGTCCTTGGAAGGAAGGTTGGGCAATCTACTTCCATAGTTACACCACTGCCTTGGAAACCCCAAAGAGAGGTCACTATGAGTCGGATCCAACTCGAGGGCACATAACAACAACAGTCCGAACTGTCATTATTACCCAATTACAATGATGCTTTGAATCACATGGTTTCATCTGCATGCCTACAAGAACTCTGTTGTTTTCATTGCTGCCAGTATTTTTATAGTCACAAGTTGTGTCAAGTTTTCTGGTATTTTAGTTACAATATTGTGGTAAAATTAGTATTTGTGAACCTGTATCAATAACTGTTTTGAGAATGAAGTAGTAATTAGAGGAAAAGAAGGATAAATCAGAAAAGGTTTCCACTTATTTACTAATAATGTTGTAGTTCAATGTAGAAAGATTGTACAAAACAATTTTTTGCTAATATTCATATAATGTAAGAAATATCACACTTAAACAGTTTACAACTATATCACATATTATTCTGTGATTGAAATTAATAATAAACATTACTAAGGATTCTGTATAGTCTGGTACAGGAGATGCATGTGGGGGTGGAGTTGACTCTCATGAGTTATTACACTGGGTGACACCAACCCTAGTGACACCACTGACCTCAGGAATAGTGCCCTGTTTCATATGCTTGCTTTATTTCCCAGTGACCTGAATTTCCCCCTGGGTTTCCTTTACTGCTTGGTTTTCAATTTTGACCTGCATTTCATCTTCCTAAACCTATAGCTGCATTAATTTTCTTCACTCCACTTCAATTTACTGTTCTACTGGGAGAGCTTCTCTTATATACTAAGAATAAACTTTTAACCTCATCTCTTAGAACAAGTTTCCCTAAAACTTGGATCAACTTGACAGCCTTATGTTGAATAGCCTCTGGGGTGGTAGCATTCTTCCAGTGGAAAGGTGGCCAGAACTGAAGCCTGCATTGAAAGGAGCTTTCACCTAGGTGTGGGCAGCCATAACCAGCAGCACCTAGAGACTCATTCTGATGAGTCCTGGAAATGGCTGCACTTCTCTGAAGCTTATCATTACCCAAAGGAGGGTAGACATGGAGTTCTTCCATGTATAAATCTTATTGCCTAAGTCTGTCTTGCACATGCAAGAGCTTTTATTCATTCTTCCTAAGAGTATGTAAAAGTTGGTTCCCTGATCAGCTTCAGTCATCTGCCCCTCAAGATATCCAGCACATAGGGACACCCCTGAACCAAAAGCGTAAACTTAGAGTCAGATGGTTCCAGAATGACTGATGAAGAAAACTGGAGGAAAAAAATTAGTGTTGTTGTTATGTGCCCTCAAGTAGGACCTGACTCATAACGACCCCTCCTTGGGTTTCCAAGGCAGTATCACAACACAGAAATAGATTGCCCAACCTTGCTTCCGAGGAGTGGCTGGTGGGTTTGAACCACCAGTCTTCTGGTTAGCAGTCGAATGTCTTAGGCACTATGCTATGAGGACATACCATTGTCCCTGGGTATCCGTGAGGGGATTGGTTCCAGGACATGCCCTCTGCCAATACCAAAATCCACAGATGCTCAAGTCCTTCATATAATAAAGGCCTAGTATTTGCACATAACCTACACACATCCTCCCTTATACTCTAAATCATCTCTAGGTTACTTATAATACCTAATAAAATGTAAATTCTACGTAAAAAGCACTTAACACACCCTCTTAGCTTTTGAGGGATCGTTTGAACACTTAATTGTGGTTTTTTTCCCCAAAATATTTTTGATCCACCATTCATTGAATCCACGGATGAGGAACCTATGAATAGAGAAGGCTGGCTGACTATATTAGGTCTCAGCACACTTCAGAATATCCTAAGACAAGACTAAAGGGAAACAGAATTTGTATTTTCTTCTAAGAAAGATTCTAACTGGTTCTAAGAAAGACTCTTTTTTCTCAGCAAAGACTAGCACTAACCTAAAAGAGAACATCTGTGATTCTGAGTAAAGCGTGTATCATCTTGTGTTGATAGTCTTTTCCCTCTTTGTTTTGGCCACCATAAATCTTAAATCTTGTTTTTGAACCAACATAAGTCTTGAAAAGTCAAGGTGAAAAGTTCTAAGCTGAGAACTCAAGCATCTAATTAGAGCTGAATTAAGCCATATATTTTGGTCCCCTACCTATAAATCCTTGGGTCTCCTTTGAAAATGGAAGAATTTTGCTACTGTGGAAGTTGTTGTTGTTGTTATGTGCCGTCGAGTCGACCCCGACTCATA